CGAGGACCAGGAGGTGAGGGCGGCCGTTGGGGGCGCGGGGACTTCGCCGCCCGCCTGGCGGGCGCTAACGACTTCCTCTGCCCCCCTCAGATGGAGCTGGAAGCGCTGCGGTCCATCTACGAGGGAGACCGCTGCTTCAGGGAGCTCAGCCCCGTGTCCTTCCAGTACCGGGTGAGGCAGCGTCTGGGCCAGCGCCGCGTACTTATTACAAAAATATTTATTTGTGTATTTATGTATGTAACGTGGCTTTTCAACAGGCTGTGAAGGCCCTAGGTCGGCATAGGCGCTTGTTCCAGGATCCTGCTCCAGGCCCTTTGCTGGGTGGTGTTCAATATCTTGACCCTCAGTATTTAGGGATGTGCCACCAGGGTGGGTTGGCTGTCCCATATGGGTTGGTGAGGCCTTAGTGCCTGTGTATCGTGCAGAGCAGGTAGAGCCCGGACCCGCTAGCCAGGCCAGGGCTCCCTGCGGGCCACTGACTCTCGCCCCCAGGAAAGATTCAGGGAAGTGTGAAGGTCTGTGGCTGTCTTGCTGCTCAGCCAGCGGCCCTCACCCCTCCTCTGGGGCAGCTTGTGCGCCTTACCCAGCGCGTTATTCCGAACAGCATCGTTAGTTACAGCCAGAGGAGTTGATTTACTAAATAGCGCACGCACGTGCAGCTTTCCTTTATCGACAGGACTGCTTGAATGTAAATTTATTGTCCTTGGGAGAGTAAGTGTATCATCCCTGCCTACCTGCAACATAGCCTTGTACATGTGGCTAGTTTTCGTTTTTGCTAATTTCTCAGAGACTGAAAAAAGATCATGAGAAAATAATAGCGTTTAAATTCTATACAGTCTGTATCAAACTCTCCTGTGAAAGAAAGTGTGCATTGAGGCAGTGTGGTATAATTAACTTCATAAAGTTTCAAAGCTTTATTTGTCTTCCACATAGGTATTTTGTAATCAGTGTGCCAAAAGATTGAGATTAAAGACTTTTCAAATACTGAGGAAAATGTAGCAGTATTGAACAGAGTATGGTGCCTGGTTTGCAAGCTGTGCTGGCAGAAGGAGTGCCAGCTACGCAGCCTCCTCTGTGGACTCGCTCGGTAACGTGCAGACAGATTTCCTGAGAGAAGGAAAACTCCATAAACCACAACGCCAGTTCTTCTCATGGCAGCTCTGGGAAGTGGAATGCTTTGCTGCGCAGGGTGTCTTGATAAACGTAACAGATTCCTGATTCAAAGCCTAATGCCTGTACTGCTAAAACAGATGCCACTGAGTATTGCTTCATCCACGTTGCTGACACAGAGACTGTGAATGAAATAAAAACACTGTTTTTTTTTTTTTTTCAGTGTACATCCATAATATTGAGATAGTGTCATTTAAATTTTGAGTCGTTTTAAAGCGTAGTAGCCTTAACTTGAGTGGGATTTTGTTGTTTTGTTATATTTCATTCCACACAGGTTAATAAAGCCAGATTTTGACTCTCCTAAAATTAGGAAATTCTTCTCATCGTATTAAAGTAGTATTTAAACCAACTTTTTTTTTACAGCAGTATAGCAAATGCGCGTGCGAAATGTTTATTTCTGTTTGTAAGGTGTGTTTTTGTTAGTCTGTATTAATTTTCAGTTAAAAAAAATAGCTGAAGTTAATATAATCTTTATGGCATAATCCACAACATGATGTTTTGTTTTGCTTTATTTTTTTTTGTTTGTTTGTTTTCATCCAGACTAATAGCTACTTGAGTATTCTTATTAGTCATTCTTTCATATTGTAAGCTAAAATATCTATAGGTTTTAAAAATAAGCATTAAAATTCTTATCTTTCACTTGTGTTATCTTATGTCATTAATCCACTGTGTTCTGTATGTCACCACTGTGTTGTAACTGAAGTTAATATAATCTTTATGGCGTAGTCCACAACATTATGTTTTGTTTTGCTTTATTTTCTTTTTGTTTGTTTTTTTCATCCAGACTATAGCTACTTGAGTATTCTTATTAGTCATTCTTTCATATTGTAAGCTAAAATATCTGTAGGTTTTAAAAATAAGCATTAAAATTCTTATCTTTCACTTGTGTTATCTTATGTCATTAATTCATTGTGTTCTGTATGTCACCACTGTGTTGTGGTTTGTTTTCATATTGCTTTGAGCTTGGATGAGGGAAAAAAAGTGGAGAGAAAAAATTATCTTTTCTCGTAAATGTTCATATAGTATTTGATCTGACACTGCAAAGAAGCCAAGTAACATCACCACAAAAGGAACTTGGAATGTTTCTGCTGATTTTCATAGAAGGAAAACTGCAGGGTGTAGGTTAATGTTCACGTCATAAATGCAACACTTTTTTCTAGAGAAAAACCTTTTTTTCCTGACAGTAGTATAAAAATAGTTGTTATCTCCAGAGGAATGTAGATAATCTTAAAGAAGTAAAAGATTCACATAGTGACACTGTAATCTTTAATAAGATACTCAAAACTGTTGGTATATGAAGTTTTTCTTTTTCCTTCAGATAGGTGAAAATGGAGATCCCAAAGCCTTTCTAATAGAGGTTTCTTGGCCAGAAACATATCCACAAACAGCTCCAGTCCTATCGATGGACGCTTTCTTCAACAACACAATGTAAGTATTTATGATAGCTTCCCTTCCTAGCTTTCTATGTTAGGGAGGTTTACTGTTGACAAACTTTTCTTTTGTCAAGATTACTGTTGAGTTTTTTGGTTTCTTTTAGATCTTCAACTGTTAAACAAAGCATACTGGATAAATTAATGGTAGAAGTTGAAGCTAATCTTGGAACTGCTATGACATATACACTTTTTGAATATGCCAAAGATCATAAAGAATTGTTCATGGAAAATCAGCCTGTTAACACTGTGGTAAGTAGATAAATTCAGATCTTAATCTGAATTATAGATGTGTTTTTAAAAGCACTTCTTAAATATTTCATATGGTAAATAGCAGAAAGTAGTTATTAGAACTCTAAATTTAATTTCATCAGTCTATCTTTAAGATGTTAATCGGTATGTTGCATTTAAACATGTTAGTGGCTGAACAGTTGAATATGGTACCAATGGTACCACAAGAGTCTGTGGTGATAGATTATATATGGCAATCAAGATATTTCAATATGTCTGGTACAGTAATCATAAACAGGTATGTTCATTTTGTATTGGCTTCTGAAGTGTAATGCAAAATATTTAGAACAATTTTTATCCTTCTCAGACTTCAGCAAGCAATAGTATTGCAATTGGAACTCCTGATGTGCCAGCAAGTAAGAAGAAAGATAAAAAGGAACAGTTATCCAAAACCCAGAAACGAAAGCTAGCTGACAAAACAGGTTTGTTCATTAGAATGCTGTTTTCTTTGAGCAGTGTGAGAGTCCAACTGTTATAGCAGTGACATCTTGTTGGAGGCAGAATCAGTAGTCTCTTGTTTATAAAAATTAATTATTGTTAATTCTGATCAAAGCAACATATTTTAAGATAGCTTTTTTATTATTATTTGTGACAAAAGTGGAATTTTCAAAAATATATATTTTTTGGAGAAAACATTTGGGATTCCTAAAAGGCGTATGTTTCCTTAACAAACACTGATGAGTAATAAGTATTTTAAAATGTAATTTCTAAATGAAAATGTTATTTTCAGAAGACTAAACTAAAACATTTAGCTTAGTATGTATCTTCAAAATAGATATGCAGAGATGCTTCTGCAGATGCTCTGCATTTAATGAAATAATATCTTGTTGAATGAAAGAGTTCAGCTATTTGGTTAATTCTGCAGAGGACTTGTACTATTTTTTTAATGATCTGGCTGATGGTATTCTACAGCAATAATTTATACCCTATGCTAGGAACTACTGCATATCATATATGTATTCTAAATGAATACTTGGCATATTAAATATTGATCCTGCAAAACTCAATACGTATAAAGTTTTATTCTTTGGCAAAACATATAATTGCTGCTCAACCTAACATCGTTTTAGAGTTGCCTTCTAAGTTAAATGTTAGAGGGACTATCTTAGGTATTTTTATTTAAGGAGAATTACTTTGAAGAATTTTTTATCATTTGCCTTATTAATGTCTTTTGGTGGACTTAAACTTTTAAAGAACATTTAACTGTCATTACAAGTCTGTCGTAAAATAATATTTAGATATTTTAAGAATAGTTTCAGAATAATACTTCAGTGCTGTTTGAGAACAATTGTTAAAATAAATTCTAAGAAGACATTAGTATTTCTTTTTGTCTTCATGACTTTAATGAGGAAATTCAAGTTTTCTTAGTCTTTCGCATCTTATTTGGTCTTAGAGAGAGATACTATCTTTATTATCTTAAAGAAAGATAAAGGTTCTCTTTAGCTCATGTTTTGAAAATAAAAACTACTTGTTCTGCAGATCACAAAGGGGAACTTCCTCGAGGATGGAACTGGGTGGATGTAATTAAGGTAACATGACTGTTAAGAGTTATGAAAATATACTGCAATATGTACTTTGGTTTCCTTCAGATGTAACTACAAATTATGTTTAATCTGATGTCTTTTTGCTTTTCTTCCTAACTTTGTTTGGATTTGACTGTGATGTCTGATTCATTTCTATGTACATCCAGCATGTAAGTATTCTCAAGTTATCTTTTTTAATACTGAAAAGATTTGCAGGAAATAGTAAGAATTTCTACTCATTTTTAATCCTAATCCACATTTTTCTAATGTTTTTAAAATGCTTATTTCTTCTGAATTTTAAATAGCATCTGAAGTACTTTCACTCTTTTCTGAAACTAATTTTAGTCTTTTTTAATTTATTGGGCAATTAAATTTTACTTTTTGACAAGAGACTTCTATGTTCAAACATATAGAAAATATTATTTCTTTGTATGGAAAGCAAGATATAAAATAAAATCAGACTTGCAGCCAGGAGAGCAACAGATAGGAAAGTAGAAGCAGGATCTCCTGCAAGCCTGAGCGTTCTCTGCTATAATTCTCCCAGTGAAGAATTTTCTTTTTCTTGTTCCCTCAGCATTGCTATCTTTCACCCTGTGGTCTTTGTTTTTAAGTAGAAATGAATATAGCTGTCTGACATTTTTTAGCAAACTTTTTTCTATGCAACCAGAATTAATTCTTAGTATAAGACCTATCACCATTTCTAGTTGTTAAATACCGGTTAGCATATAGTGGTTATAAGCAGAAAACTTCTGCATTCAAAGTGACTATTTATAGTAGATGTTGCGGATTACAGAGAAATTTCCTGATAGATGCACTACTTCTAGTACTTATGGACTTAGTTTTAAAAAAGGAGAATAATAATTTATGTCTTTTTTTTTTTTTACATTTCGTGCACATATTTATGTGGGAACAGTTTAAGATGTGCAGAAGTAACTTTGTTCATAAAAAGGGAAGATAGAGTTTCAGGTTCAGAAAGTAAACTTATTTAGTATATAAGATTAAGAAATATTTTTGAGTCAAATACATCTCTTGCTACAGTAGCACAGTCTGTGTCATTAACTAAATATACCTGTGTTCTGTGTAAGATGGAAAGATGGAAATAATGTTGTTTTTGTTTTCTAATAAATGGAATAGCAGTCTAAACTTTGAACACTTTCTTTTTGTGTCTCTTTTATAGTTAAGCAAAACTGGTTCTAAAGATGATGAATAAAGGACTTTGGTACAAGGAAACTCCACCTTTTAATACAGTACAATTTTGGGTCACCATATTTCTCTTAATAACTTTCTTACTTGTTGAAGTAAACATTTTATAAAGCTCAATTTCCTAACTCGTAAGCCTAGTCACACAAGTTGATCTAGAGACTTTGTGATCTTTGACAACAAAACTTGCCTTAAATGAAGGTTAAAATGTGACAAAGGATATAGAGAGCCAATGTGGTGAAATGAATAGTGATATATGCAGTGTTAATTAATTTATATTTTACTGTGTAGTAAAATCCTGTTATAGTGAACCAATGATACTGTAAACATTTCCTGATGTTCTTTTTGAATAGAAAAAAGAAAAAAACCCCACTATAACAGTGATTTGTCACTTAACAGCATAATTCATCAAAATAAATTATTCCATGGAAACAAAACCTTTGTCATTTGTTTATCTAATACAAATGTAGAAGGAGAACCTAAAAATCATTATATGATTATAAACACTAGAGTTTGTGGTCCCATTTTCACTAGTTATTGACTTAAGTAGTTTATTCTAGCGAATGCAAGGCCAAATATTCTAGTCTATTCAAAAAGTGTGGTTACAGCAGTGTATCTTATTTTGTGCAGTGTCCATCTGTTAGTCTTTCTCTCATGCATCTTTATGATGATATGAGGTCTGAGGTGGCGGGGAGAGAAGTGAGCCCCTGTGTATGTCTCAATGAGTGTTGGGCCTTGTTAACTCTCTTGCTGAAGAAATGGGAACTCCTGGGAGGAAATTGTTGGCTGAATGCTGGGTGGAAGGGTGGGAAGAAGTCAGCACTCTGAAACATGTGCTGGGAAAATTTTTCTTTTCTTTTTTTCTTTTACTGGTCTGCTCTCTTGTATCGGAAAGAAAAGTCATCTTTACTATTAATGAATGGTAACTGAATGCAAGATGCCTTAATGTCCTTTCCTCCTCTTTTTTTAAAGGTGAATTTTAATAAATTATTATGTATCTGCTGTGCTATGTGTTATTCTTTTAATTGTGTGTTATCTGCTCTCTTTTTAAGGCTAAGATTGAATTTGCAAGTAACTTCGTTTTGCAAGGAAAGTATTTGTTGAAATTGGCGGTAATTTTTCTCACTTGAGAGTATGACGGTGTGCGTTGTGCGACTTGTAGTGAGGGGGGTGTCCCAGGGACAACTAGACTCCCCTGCACAGTGGTGCTGAGATAAGAGCTTGTGCAGCCAAGAGCAGGATAGTTTGCACTGCTGTCATTAGGGCTTCAGTTTCTGCACACGTGGGAAGAACGTGTGGAAGGGAGCAGCACGCAGGAAGAAAGTTGCTCTGCTGGTTGCTGCCCTCCTTTAACAGGGAAAGGCAATGCTGCAGCTTTAGGCTCTGCCAGAAGCACAGAGCTGTTTCTATTCAGAATCTCTCCAAGGGGAATCAACTTATCTTTGCTAGAAACCTTGGTGTATAAATCGAGTTTCCATGGAAATTTATCTTAATACAGTAGCTGGGGAACGTAGGAGAAGGACAAATACGAGCCGCTTCTCTTCCTTTCCTATCATTTCTGTGTATAATGGCAAACACATTGCCCTCGTGAAATGTCTGATTTTTCAGCTTCAGTCTGCTCACAAATCACACACTTTTGTGAAGATACCCTAGCAATTTCTTCTGCCTTTGTTAGCAGTGATTGAGAACATGCATTTGTTTAGAGGTCTGCTTTCAAGGAAAATACTTTGTATCAGCTTTTTCTTTCTGTGAAAATTTGGAAAGATAATTTGTTCTCTTAAACCATTTTCTGGTATGACACAGTAGTTGGAGCAGATTCATTTCAAAATCTAGTGGAAAGGCCTGAGCACTGGAAAAGGGGGAGGAAAATTGATTCTTATCAAATAAGACATGCAATTGATAGAGATCATGACTACTGAGTGAATTTTAAATACTGTTGAAAAATATTTTCTTTCAAGTGAACTATTAGAAAATTGGCAGTTGAAACAGTTTTTATTGACTTATTTCAGTAGGGCAAGATTCATTTATTTGTAGGGCCATGTTATCTGTTTAAATAAATGGATTTTGTAGTAAGGCTTTGATTGGAATGAAAAGATAAACATCAGTACTAGCAAAAGCAGAGAAAATTAGCAGTTAATACAGGATTATTAAAAGGTTGTCAATTATTAGAAAGGTTTCTGGTAATCGTAGATACCAAGTGCCTTGCTGAAGCACTTGTGGAAAAAACATTAAAAAAAAACCTCTTTAAATTACTGGTGTTGTTGCAGTAACCGCTTGGCAAATCTCATCTGATCATGTATAGCATCTTTTTTACTTTTTCATTTTTTTCTCTGAGGACAAGCTTGGTATAGGAAAGGAGATGGTAATTAGATTCAGCACTTAAATGTGAAGTTTTACTTAATGAAATTTAACTTAAAATATCATACAATCTCTTTAGTCTTTTTGTACGTATTTGAATTGGTTAATGTTCTTAATGCTTTGCAAAGTTTTGTGAAAGATTCACTCATATGGGGACAAAGATGACTTTTCTAATAATTTTTTTCTTCAGTTGTTTCTGGTGTTTATTTTTTCCTTTCTATCACTAAGTTTTGAGAACACTGAGTTTGAGTTTTCCAGTTATACAAATGAGTACAATTATGCTTAAACTACCTATGTTTTCCCTTTAGAGAGTGTTTTTTGTTCTCCTCTCTCAGCAGACCACGCTCGTAGTTTGTTTGCTTGTTACCAAGGAGCGGGAGGCTGCGCCTGTCAGTCCTGCGGGTGCCCTCGTGCACATCCCCAGGCAGTGCCCTGGCAGCTTCAAGGTGCCACAGCTGTTGGGAGAGGACCTATGCAATTTTGGCTTTAAACTGATTTGGTATCTCTAGAAAACAGGGACCTCCCAAATCTGCCTGGCTGTTTCTTTTGATAATATGGGCATTATTTTGTCCTGTGTTCGTAAACCCTTCGAAAATTTCAAAAGCAGGGCACAAGGGCTGTCACTACTCTCACGCTGGCATTTTATTTTGGAGAAAGCTTCATGCCTTTAGTCACATTGGCATGATGTGAAGTACAAGTTCATTTGGTGATGTTATTGCCCAGCCCCAAGGAGCTCCGCTGCGATAGAATGCACTGAATACTGGGGAATATCTGAGGTTGCCCTCATGGAGGTTAAATGGAGCGCCAATAGCTGTCCGTGATGGACAGGGTGGACCTGCCGTATCCTGCTCGACTCCGTGCTCAGGCTCCCACAGCCGCCGCTGCAGTCAGGGCCGTTCATGTCTGCGCTGCCACTGCACTTGGGGGTACATGAGGTGGGGAGATAAAGCGTACCCACGTGGTGAGTTACAGCTTTGGGTGAGAAAAAAGCTATTTCTTGATTGCGAACCTTTGGTATAAATACAGAGGTAGGGAGCCTATCATCTCAGTTTTGGCAATGCAAGTGGTTTTGAGGCAACATGGTACTCTGGCCTTTGTGTTGTTAAAGTCATTAAACTGATACAAATTTCCAATAGTTTTCCTTTGTCATCTGTTTGTGTAATTTCATTTAGTGGTTTATGCTGTTGCATCATAAGCTCTTGTACTAGCAAAGTCAAAGAAACTTCTATGTAATAGATAGTGCCTTGAGGGGAGAAAGAAAACTAAAAATGAATAAAAACAGAAACTGAATGGGTTGTAGCAAAACAAAGAAAAAAAAAACCCCAGGATATTCTTGTGCACAACACTGGGAAGGAAGAGCACAGGTGGTAAATCTTTGTTGCTTCAAGACAATAAAATAAAATAAAAGCCAACATTCCAGTTACAGGGCTATAAACTGTGGAATGAGGCTGGGATATGACAAAAGACCAGAGGGTAAATTTTGTTTCTGCCGTTGTCATTTATTCTTTCTCCAAAATAGCTTTGCCTTCCTCAGAATGGGGCTGTTAAATGTTCCTGGGAAGAATGATTCCATTTTCTTCTCTCTGTTATTTTTCTTGTTGTCCTCTTTCCAAGCCCATCCAAATAGTCTCTGAAAATCTCTTTGCCTCCTAGCGAAGAGGCAGAACATAGTGACTAGGTATTGGGAAGAAATCTTAGCACAGGGGTGAGAGAAGTAATTTTCCTTTCCATCACCCATTCGGAGCCAAGTGAGTTGACTCAAAATGGCTGAATTACGTAAGACATAAGAGGATCTAAATCCAGGCAATAATATCCTATCTGAGGCTGAAAGTTTCCCCATCTAGTTTAAAGTTTTACACAGCTGTCTCATGCTACTGTGTCCACAGTATTGATCCTTAAAACTCTGCAGGAATTGTGAAGCTCTTACTTGGGTTGCATGCTTCGTGCAAGTTGCTTAACTTGTGGGATCTGGTAAGGTCACAGCAATGAGGAGCAGTCAGCCAAAGTCTAACTGCTAACAGCTTTAGGGGAGAGTAATGGGCTTGCGCAGGGGCCTCTGAGGACACAATTTCATCTGCAGTCACTTTATTACTGGTAATCATCACTGAAAGGAAGAAGTCAGAGTCTCGGATGAGTTTGGAAGGTATTGTTCAAGAAGAGATGATCTTTTTCTTCTAAAACAAGTATCTGTTAGGCTGTCACTGAAAGGCTTTAAACGTAAAAATCATCTTGTACAGAGCCAATCTTTGGAGCAGGATCTTACTCTAAATCAGATAAATGGCTTTGTCTGTAATGTGTTTTATGATTTCCTGCAGGAAAAACAAGTGTGAGGAGAGCATTACTGTCTAGCAAGCTGCTATCTCTGCCGTAGGGAACTGTTTGATTTCTGCTTATATGAAGGCTGTGATTCAGTTGACCTTGAAGGGAGAGATTTTTATAATAGTACAGCAAAAATGTAGCTGCTCGTTGATAAGAGTCTGATGGAAAATATTCTCTATAGATGGCTAATAATTTTTCATAATGTTATCAGTTTTATTTTTTTCTCTGATTAAGATCAGCACTAGAATATTGCTAGTTTTCAGTTAATCAGTGTCCAACATGATTATAGCTTTTTTTTTTTTTTTTTGGTCCTCAGAGCATATGTCTTTAAATGATAACAAATTCAGGAAGTTGTATATAAAATTTTGCATGCCACAATCAAAACTGCCTCTGTGATGCCTCTTGAAAAGGACCGTGTAAGAATTAGAGATTCATTTAAAGTGAATAGACTAGTAAAAACACATTGCATCACATAAATGGAAGAAGCTTCTGCAAGTCATTCAGTCAAACCTACTTTGTGAAGCAAAGCTCTTGATAACACTGGATCAGATCACCCAAGCCTTTTCTAGCTTCATCTCTCCAAGAACAGAGATTTCACAGTCACTCAGGGCAACTTGTTTCAGTGCTGCACTACCCTCCTACTGAGGAAATTTTATTTTGGTTAATTTCCAGCCTGAGCATCCTAAACTGTAATTTGTGGCCATCACTCTCTGTTTCGCAGTCTGGTGCCACTCCTGAGAAGTGAACAGCAGCACTGCAGGAAACTCCTAGAACAGGAGCCAATTTTTCATTTACAGCACTCTTAAAGAGTGTGAAAAGCATTTTGAGAATACCTACTGTCACTGTTATTCTCTGCATACCGCAGCAAATTTGTCAAGACCCATTAAACCAATTATTTTCCTGCTTTGAGAAAAAATTGGTTTAAAAATAGAGATTAACATTTACAAATACAAAGGTCATTTAGGGCAGTAAGA